TACTTGTCTTCTCTGTGTTGTACAGTCCTCCCCATGCCCCCCCCCCACATTATACATGCTAATTATAATGCCCCCTTTCTTTTTCCCCACCCTTATCCCTCCCTTCCCACCCATCCTCCCCAGTCCCTTTCCCTTTGATAACTGTTAGTCCATTCTTGGGTTCTGTGATTCTGCTGCAGTTTTGTTCCTTCAGTTTTTCTTTGTTCTTGTACTCCACATATGAGTGAAATCATTTGGTACTTGTTTTTCTCTGCCTGGCTTATTTCACTGAGTATAATACCCTCTAGCTCCATCCATGCTGTTGGAAATGGTAGGATTGGCTGAGTAATATTCCATTGTGTATATATACCACATCTTCTTTATCCATTCATCTACTGATGGACACTTGGGTTGCTTCCATTTCTTGGCTATTGTAAATAGTGCTGCGATAAACATAGGGGTGCATATGTCTTTTTCAAACTGAAGTGCTGCATTCTTAGGGTAAATTCCTAGAAGTGGAATTCCTGGGTCAAATGGTATTTCTATTTTGAGCTTTTTGAGGAACCTCCATACTGCTTTCCACAATGGTTGAACTAATTTATATTCCCAACAGCAGTGTAGGAGGGTTCCCCTTTCTCCACAACCTCTCCAACATTTGTTGTTGTTTATCTTTTGGATGGTGGTGTTCCTTTTTGTTAAAAGAGCTGATTTTTGTGGGAATGGGGTTAGGGAAGAGTTGGGACATAGGCTTAGTTTGGATATTCTGAGTTTGAGGTGGTTAAAATACCTAAGTAGAGTTATGCTTGATGCATGTATATATTAAGCAGATAGTTTGATATAAGAACAGTGTGGAGATCTAGATTTGGACATTGAAAGTAGAGTTAGTTGAACCTATCAAAGTAAATGGGAGGGCAAGGGTGGTTGTAGGCTGTTGCACTGTTAAGAGTGGCACAGACTATGAAGTGACAGGGTAGTTATGGGAGAGGTAAGACAGAACTTACCTTTTGTAGTGTTGTCTCAGAAAGCCCCATATTTTATATTTGTAGGTTATGTGTCTATGGGAAAAATTTTTTATTCCATATTTAATGGTTGATTTTTCTAAAACATAAAATCCTATATGCTAAATAATAGTTATATAAAACACAGTATTCTAGTATAAAATGCTTACTAATACTTTAGATTTATCACAAAATAGAGTAAACTGTGAAGTTCAGAATCTCAGACTTGCTAGTAATTATATATTAAGTTTTCTGCAAATGACTATCATCAATCTCTTGTTCTGTTAAATGTGCATAAGAATGAAATCACAGTGTTGAATAATAAAACTTATGTAAAGTACACCAAGGAAGTATTAAAGATAAATGACTTTCATACTGAATTAGTTTACTAGTGAGAGAGGGTGGGAGGGAAAGAGAAAAGGGAAGAGAGTACAAGAAGCATTCTTATACTTTATGTTCAAATAAGCATTGTTACTAAAGATAAAGTAGTAGTGACTTCATTTAAGTTTCTTTAGTGATATAAATTATTTCAGCTCTATATCACACTAGTTCTCTAAGTAGATGTGCACAGAGGATATTTTAAGAAAGGCTCAAAATTCCTGACTACATACATATTTCTTAAAAATATATATATAATAATATATATACTAATACATAATGTGTATAATTCAATATTTTTTAAATATATAGCTTGAATTACCTTTTGTTTCTATAATTTTAATTGTATTTTGATAACTTTACTGTGTGTTTGGTCATTAAATGAGCTTTTATATGGAAATTTGATTTAACAGAGCTACAATAGAGGAAGCATACTCCCGGTCAATGACAAAACTAGCAAAATCTGCAAGCAATTATTCTCAACTTGGGTGAGTTTATTTCTTTGAAAACCTTTTTCAGTGTTGATTTAGGCAAAGTTCTTGAGAATATTTGGTTCCCATTGAGGGTATAATAGTTTGTAAATATATTGCTATCTAATGTGTGTATTAAAAATGTGTCTATATGAGTATATTCTTGACTTAATAGAAAATATAATTGAACTTGCTGAATTAGTTAATGCTGTCAAAGTAAATGAAACTTTATTTCCCTTTTATTAAACTATATAGTCATGCAGTAGTGTAATTTTGAGATGATAAATATTGTATTATGCATGTTATTCTAGTTTTCTGTAAGTATTTAAATTTTGTTGCAGTGATCTTTAAAAACTCACTAACTTTATTGACATGATCAAAATGTATTAAAATGTCTCATGATTTTATAGACTATCATTAAGTCATCATCTTAAAAATTTATATTAAGGAAATGTATTCTTTGATTACTAATAATAAGAATATATTTAAAATGAGATGTGATCATAAACCGTAACAGCTCTGGAAAGAATAATTATATAATTTCAACTGTAACAACTGTAAGGAATATTTAATCTGATATAATTATCTAAAATTTGGAGAAAAGTCACATTTTAACCAAGATGTTAAAATAATTAGAATAATATTTATAAGGATTTCTACAGTGATAGGGAGGGAAGTATTCTTCTCTGAGGTTGTGATGAATCTGTGAATCCCTTGAAATTTATGTCAAAATTTTATGTATTAATTCATATTTTTGATGAAGAGGATCTATACCAGTTATCAGATTCACATATGGTTCTGTGATCAAACTGGTTTAAGAAAGACTATTTTTTGAAGTATTCTCCAGCATGGTTGAATAAATTTAAATGAGTCTTCCTAATTTGTGCCTGGATATAGAGGATTTGGACTCAGTTCATCCTCAGGATAGTGACATTATATAGGTGCTAAAAGCCACAGCCAAGGGGATCTTCAGCATTTGGGAAGGTTGGGGAGATGCCACCTTTTTTTTTCACCTAGAAGAGAGTGGGGACTCGTAGTTGACTTTTCTTTTTTTCCCTTTCATTTGTTTCCATTTATTTTTTCCCTCCACTCCCAGGATACAGCTTCATTCTTTCTTCTTTTTTCCATCTCTTTCCTTTTCTGACAGCCTTCTGTTTCTAAAGCTTCCATGTAGACATGACTCTTCTGAAACATAATTTCTTTATTGACCATAATAGAAGGGGCAGAAAGTAACTGGAATAGTGGAAGCTAACTTTAAACAATTGGCCACACTTTTATTGAGGATATATTTTTATTTTTAAGTTAATAGATGGGAGATAGAAAAAATATGGATTGACTTCAACTGTGTTTCCTGAGAATAAAGTTAATGACACTTCTACTTTGGAGTGTGACATAATAAATGTCACATAAATAACAATAGGTGGTTTTTGTATATGTATTTTAGTGTCATTAGTTAAGATCATACATATTTTAAGTAATATTGTTTTATTGAGGCATATTTAGGTAAGAAATTTAATTTTATCTTTCTGTATTTAGTTGCATGAAAACATTTTGGATTTGTCAGGTTTTTTTTCTTAGTGCTTATATATTAATGTGTATTACTTATTCAGAAAAAAATATATATATCAAACTCTAAAAATGTATGATATTTGAAACTCCTTAAAGAAATCTATATTTAGAGAAATATCATGTTAAACCCCTTTTCAATGTGAAAAATCCTTTCGTAAAGTAAAGGGACACTCCCATCTTACCTGCTTTGTGAAGTCTAGACTATTACATATCAGGTTTACATGAAGTGATGAACATGTATTTTGGTGCAGTAGTGAGTGGATCCTTTTTGGGTACCTTCTCTTGAAAAATTCCGTGTAACTAGTTGTCAGATTTAGTGATTAAATTTTAAAGTGTAAGGTGAGATTTAATCAGAACTGTCCTAGTCTAGGTATTTTAATTATCCTGTTTGAACTTCTTTATTATTATTATTCACAATTTAAAAAAATTGAAGTATAGTTGATATATAGTATTATATTGGGTTCAGGTGTACAACCTGGTGATTTGACAGTTACAAACATTACAAAATGCTCACCATGGTAAGTGTATTTACCATCTGTCATGAACTTATTATTGCTTAAAATGATCATTGCCAGTTAGCTTTCCTACTAGGTAAAAAATGTAATAATTGGCAGAGAGTACATATTAGGATAAGTAATTTCTTTTCCTACCCTCTTGCTTCAGTGATCATTGCTGCTATTTATTTTGTTTTTTAGAAGGTTTATCATAGAACAAAGCAAGTATTATTGAAAATATCTGTTGAGGAAGTAACTGAGGAAAGCATAGGCTAAAATTACCCTTATATCATTCTGTGCTGACCAGATTAGATTAAACTAACCATTGGTATCTTAAGTATTACCTAAGAGAATAAATGTTGTAATTCTTGGAAGACTTGAACCTACCGAAAATACTAAATTCTCATTATTAAGAAAGTGATAGGAAAGTATGTCATACACCCTGTACCATGTAGTAAAAACAGGACTCTCTTAGTGTTTGTTGAAGTACATAGATAGTAAACAAGGTTTCAGGAACAGTTCTAAATAATTCTTACAATTGTGATGAAGACACAAAAAATGTGCAAATTTAACTTATGCATGTTTCAATTTAGAATAACTTTTATTTTTGATGAGGCATTCTAAGTGGAGAACTAAATAGTCTAAAATTGAAATTTGATAATAAGTTAATGGTTAATAATAGTGATTAGAAAGGTTTCTGATATAAGTCTGACCAAATAAACTCAGAAAATGATATGATATAATTAAGGGAGGGCCATGGTCAGACTTTGGTAAGTAGTTGACTCATTTTTGTGTACCTAAGGTCCAAAAATATTTTAAATAATAAACCAAAGATTAAAAACCCAAGGTCAGTGTGTCAGTCATTTCATTTATGATTTATTTTAATTTCATCTATTTAAAATTATTGAATATAACCTTATTATTTCCACTGGTTGTATTTTAGACTCTTAAACTTTTTCTCTTTTAGAAAATTATTCCCATGTTTTCTCTTCCTTAGAACATTTGCTCCAGTATGGGATGTGTTCAAAACATCTACAGAGAAATTAGCAAATTGTCACTTGGATCTTGTTAGAAAATTACAAGAATTAATAAAGGAAGTTCAGAAGTATGGAGAAGAGCAAGTAAAATCTCATAAAAAGGTATCAATTTTTTCTTGCTTAACGATTGATTGGTCAGATGTTGAGTGCTTTACATTTCAGTCATTTTGATGAATCATTTCATACCAAACAGACTAAAGAAGAAGTTGCAGGAACTCTGGAAGCTGTTCAGACCATTCAGAGCATAACTCAGGCCCTCCAGAAATCCAAGGAAAATTACAATGCCAAGTGTGTAGAACAGGAACGTTTGAAAAAGGAAGGAGCTACACAAAGAGAAATAGAAAAGGTAATAGTAATAAAAAATAATACCTCTGTGGTTTCAAAGCACTTTCAAGTAGAATACTACATTTAATCTTCAGACACTCAAGAATGATCTCATATTAAAGGTGAAGACACTGTGCCTCTGAGTGTTAGTGATAACTAAGTGAAACAGAAGTTTTGCCAGATATGTTGTATATGCTAAATAGGTGAGCAAATAGATAAAAAGGAATGATTTTTTTTTATGTCATTGACACATTTGCAGGATGCTTTTATAATACGATAAGTGATGAGATACTCCTTGCTATAAGATTTAACTGAGGTAAAAAACTTTTGAAGTAAGACTTTGGTATATTCAGAAAGGCATAGATACTTAAAAATAAGCTTTAAAATATATGTTGTGGGTGGGTGATTTGAGCATATTTGTATAGTATTGTGGTAAACCACAACCCTTTCCCCTACTCTCGTTTTAATTGAAAGATTTTTTTCCCCCCTTTCAAAGTAGTTTAACCATTTACTTGTTTGATGTGGTATATCTCATTTCCCAGTTGAGATGAAACACAAGGAGCCTCATTCACTGTGTGAAGCAGTCGCTGGGGAAAAAAGACTTGGGCAACTGACTAGGGCTAATCCTTAATTGGAAGTTGGAAGCATAAACACAATTCTGACTGGGTATCAAGCCAAGAAATAATTCATGACTATTTGGTCCATATCCCCGATATTCTTCCATAGAAGTAATTAAAAACTATGTTTATAAAACTGATACTAAATTGGGGCCTTGGAGGGCTGTCAGGAGACAACTGAAAAACTGCTATGTGGGGACGGGTAAGCACAAAGGGTAGAACATAACAGAATTCTAGGAGGTAACATTTACATTATATTCTCATAGCACTGATGGAGGGGGAGAGAGAAGGTTGGGGCGCAGATGAGAAAACTCCCGTTTGACGTGAGCAAATAACCAAAATTCAAGAGCAAATCTAAGAAATCTAATATAAGGCAGAGAGCAATAAATTTAAGAATTGGAATAAGAATTCACTCCAGATGAAATTTAAATTTATAAAACAGATGAATAAAAATGTGTGTTGAGGATGTTCATCAAGATAAGTGAATATATACCTAAATTAAGGAAGATTAAGAAATTAAAAGAAGCATAGTGAAATAAGATCTAGATAAGAAAATAGCTAATTAGAAACTTGGAAATAAAAAATACAGTTATTGAAATTGAAACAATCAATAGAGAAGACAAACTTTAGACTTAATGTAGTCAAGGAGTGACTTTGGAAGGTAGTACTATGGGAATTCACCCAGAATGTAGTACAGAGAAGTAAAGGTTATAAACATTCATTCATCTGATATGAATTTCAGAAGGAAAAAAAAATGGAGAAAATGTTCAACAAGTAATATCTGAAGAGTTAGTAGCTCAGAATTTTTCAGAGTTGGAGAAATTCAAGAATCCTCAGGTTGAAGATACATTGTTGCTATTAAGCAGGTTAAAGGTAAATTCAGACCTAAACACCATAGAAAAAGCTACCAGGTATTTCTTTTCCCTCACATCTCTGAAATCAGAATGCATTTTCAGTTGATTGTATTATGTAATCACTGTTGTTTGGTAAGGTGGCATTTGTGGTGTAGTTTATTGCTTATGCAGATTGGGTGGTTGTACCTGGTGGCATGATTGGACCACTGCAACAGTTTGATGTTTTAATAGACCATTTTAAGACTGTGTGAGGAAGGAATTGTTTTGGTTCTTGTTCGAACCTTTTGTTGAGATCTGGTAAGATGAAGAAAAAATGAGTACTAGTGTTTGTAAGAAAACCTGGAGGTAATAATGAGTGAGCATTTTTATGAGATGCAGTGTCCATAATGCTCTTGGTGCCATCAAAGATAGTATATTGGAAAAAACAGACCTCAGGAATCCTTGAAATGGAAAGTAATTGAGATCAGAATTTGACTATGAAGAAGTTTTAGGATTATTTCATATAATCCATTTTGCTTTCCTTTTTATTCTGTATCACACAGAAGTGAGACAGAATAAAAATCTACATTAAAGTAAGCCTGAAAGATCTCTTTTAAATGTATAAAATAAAAATTAGAAATGATAAGAAAGCATTATTTTATGGTTTAGTTAACAGCATTTTTCTGTTTTAGTGATGTGTGAGATAATGTGCTTTACCATTAATAATACATTAGATTTAGTAATAGTCAGGTATGTACATTAAGCATAACTTCTGAATCTTTTAAATAAGCAAAGATAAGATATTAAAATTTTCCAACAAGAGAGGAAATAGGAATAGAGAAGCAAGGAAAAAGAATGATAGACAGAAAACTCAAAATAAGTAGAAAGAAATAAATGCAAATATACCGTATATACCATAATACATATAAATTAATTAGATTCCTCTGCTAATAGGTTGATTGTCAAATTGGAAAAAAATTCTTATTATGTAAACAACCTTAACCGTTGAGCAATAAAAAATGTTTCATATAATGGGAATATTCAGCAGTTCAAATAAATGAACTACATAGGGGTAAAGTGATAGATCTGGGATTAAAAATACTCTAGCAAAAAAAAAATTGGAGAGGGAAGAATGCATGGACTCTTGAAGCTAAGTGATGGATTCGTAGGGTTTATTATACTTCTGTGTGCTGTAAAATTTGTTATAAAAGCAAAAAAAAAATTAGCATGGATAAATATAAAAAGCATAATGGTGAGCAAAACAGTTCCAGAAGAATATATAGATCTTGATGCCTTTTACATGATCTTTAATTCTCTGTTAAAAAAAAAACCCTTTTTGTTTATAAGTAAATACGTATTAGGGTCATGCATGGAGGGTAAGCACTAAGCCATGTGATGGGAGTTATCTTTATGGAGCAAGTGAGGGGAACAAAACTGAGAAGCACATGGGGCCTCATTCCTCTATGTAATATTTAATTTTTTTCCAGAATATATGAAGGATAGGAACAAATATGGTAAAAAGTTGACTGTATTTCAAAATCAGATTAATTTCTTAAAATGTGAGCTTCTAGGAACATTTACTTTACATACAGTAACATACAGTTTAGTGAATTGATATGACTGCCCTGTCATGTCATTAATGCAAGTCTGCTTTCTAAATTGGTTGAAACTTCCCAGAAGGTTAAAACCCTCCTGGTTTAAATACCACACTCTATTTTTTTGTGTGTGAAACCCAGTTGGCTTAATATAGTACCCAGTATGTAGTGAGTGACCTGAAAAATGTATAGTAGCTAGAGATTATACTTAAAGAAATGATTATCTGAATCCTTTGATAGAAGCCAGAAAAATGTTTAACATAATTAAGTGATTTAGATTGAAAGGATTTCTTTTTGATTAACATATTGAGGAGCTGTAGCACATGGTTGTGTCCTAGAGTTAGGAATTGGTGACTGAAGTCTGGCCTATGCTTGCTTCACTTGCCTTGTGGTGGGATGAACAGCTCAGAGGAGGGGTTGCTTTTTTCTAATTGTTCTGCTTAGAGGCAGTATCTTTGCTTATAATATGAGATGTGTTAGTGGGTCTCTGATTCGAATCCAAGTCTAAGAAGTAATTATTTTGGCCTGTAAAAAGAAGTTTTTTATTAACATGAATATAGTTTGCTTTTTTAAGCAGATCTTTCAACCAGTTTTCCTTTGGTAGATATGAAAACGTAAGTACTTGGTGCTTTATGAGATGGTATGCTACTGATCTTTACTCACAAACCCTTACTTAAATAAAACATTTAGAAGGTACTCCTATTTGTGGACTATGACTAAGTACTTACCTGTATGTATGTATTTGCTTCATAGGATTTTACTATAAAAATTACCAGCACTTAAAAATATTTCTGGTATTGTATCAGTAAATTTATTTATAATGCTGAGGAAATGAATAAAATGAAGGATATTAAAATGTATTTTCACAATAGGTAACCTATTAAAGCTAATCTTTTATTTATGAGAAGAAATGTAACTGTTGCTTTTAAAGCATAATTTCCTCATTTAAAAACAAATCCTTCAACTTCCCTTTTGATAATGACATTCCAAAAGTTGGCCAAGTTTGTTACTACTAGGACATGTAGTTTCTACCTTGGAATTTATAGGATTACCACTTATATATACTATTTAGAAAGTTACTTTGACTTAATTGTTTAGTTTTCTGTGAGAGACAGCTTCTTGCTTTCAAAAAAATCTAGCTGTCCTAGTATAATTACATTCTAAAATTTGCCTTTGTCTCCTTTTATATTTAACTTTAGTTTAAATTCGTTTTTGTCACTAAACACCTTGTGAATCAATAATTTTTTTTCATTTCATTCCTTTATTACCATTACTTTTGTTACTTTTTCAAGATGCTTCTCTAAGTTGGTATGTAATTTCCTCAAGATTCTGGCATATTATTTTTACCTTTGAGGAGTGAGAGCTGGTGTAAAAAAAAATAAGGATTTATAAAGGCTGTATTCTTTCTCCTTCCTTGATACATCCAAATAAGAGAAATGAAATATTATACAGTTTCCTAATATCAGAAAGTACCCTTCAGAAGACGTCTCACAATTCAGTCAGATCCAGGTCCTGACATTGGAGGGTGAAGATCAGTTTTTGGTTGGAAATAGTCAACAAATAAATTTGTATGCCAGGTTAAGTTAGACCAATATTTACAGTGAGAATACTGTGGGAGAAAAACAAGTTATGAAAATAATGCTTGTTTAAAATTTTTAAATTAATGTTTCTACCCCTGTTGACTTGAAAGATTTGAGTACCAAAACTAGTTGGAATTCTGGGGACTATTAGAAGAGGAAATAATGCTTTAGGAACTTCCTTCCATCTCATAAAATCTATAATTTTAAGTGCATGAATAATGTTGTGAAATGCTTAACTTTATTTACATTCCAGAAATACATCATATATTTTCTATCAAGAGTAATGGTCCTCCAGACAATCTTTTATTTCTGTTAGATTATAAATTCCTTGTGTGTGAGACACTGTCTAATACATAGCATGTATGTTTACTCAGAAAAATAATCATTATAGCAAAATACTGCTTGACTTTTTCCTATTCATTAATATAATAAAAATTAAGAATTTATTTTGAATATAGGCTATAGATTAGATTCTTGCCTTTTGAACTGGTTTATTCAAATGTTTTTCTGACTGATGGTAGGATAATAAAGTGATAATTTGTGTGCAATAGTAAATGTATGTTTTAGTTCCTGTTGTGTGCCTATCACCATGCTAGATGGTTATGAAAGCTATTAAAGGCTAAATACATACTATCCCCTTAGTTTCCTTCTTTTGGGGGCAGCAAGGCATATTTAATAGTGAAGAACAGGAGGTTAGAGGGAGATTTTAGTGGTATGTTTAGAAGGGGGAGGCATCTTATTTTGTACAGAACCTATAAAAAGAAAATAGGAAAGATTGTATGAAATTCCTTTTTAGAAGTATGGACACAATCATTGTAGTTACATTTTTCAGGAATTGTCCATTTTTATGGAAATTTCAAATAGCAAGTATCTCAAGGAGTGATCAAAGTCATGTTTTTATCAGTAGCTGACACATAAATTACTAGACAATGACTTGATATGTAGCAGAGAAAAATAGTAGGTGTTAGGATGAGGTTCAAGCAAAGAGAAGAGACTACCAGTGGAGAGAAGAGGCTACCGCTGGGATAACATAATTTTACTAAAATGCTGTTAAAAATCACTCCATGCAGTTAGGCTGCTGGCTAGTCTTACACAGACTGGAAATTTAGGTAGTTGAAAGACGGAACTAAAGTCTCTTGGCATAAATAATCCAAAGGGAGACCCAGATAACTATGCCATTAAAGTTATTTCTAAAATAAGCTCTAGCAAACTTGGTTATCTAGGCTGCATATGAAGGTACTTAGTAAACTCTCAATATCCATCTCATCTAATTGTTACGTGTTTGAACAGGGACAGGATGTTAGAGGAAGTATAGTAACAGTAGTATGAAATAATGTCAGATGACCAGACAGTGGGAAAAGAGTTAAAAAAAAAAAAGTCCATGGGGGTTTATAGAATAGAAAATCACTACAGGTTTTAGCCACTTACTCTTGGGATGGAGAGCTCAGTACAACCCTTAGCAGTAAACTTTAGTGATGTAGGTTCCTGACAATCCTTAAGAAACCATAGTAATAGTAAGTAACATTTTGTAGATATAACTGTATTCCAGACCCTGTCCCAATCATTTTTCAGTAATTATATTTCATTCCTGTAAAGCTCTAAAAAATAGATGGTATTATTCCCATTTTAGGAATGGGAGAACTGTATAAAGCTTAAGTACAAGGTCACATGGGTAATGTAGAGCCAGAATTTAAATCCAGTTTCTTTGGGCTCCAAAACCAGTTCCCTTTACAGGATAAAAATTTTTATTGGCATATAGCTAATACACAATATTATGTTGGTTTCAGGTATACAACATAGTGATTCAACAATTATATATACTGCAAATTGTTCACCAAATAAGTATAGCTACCATCACCATACAAAGCTATTACAAATATTATCAACTGTATTCCCTATGCTATACTTTTAATTCCTTTGACTTTTTTGAAAGTCAAATTGAAAGTTTGTGCTTCTTTATCCCCTTTACCTATTTTGCCCATCTCCCCTAGCTCCATGGCAGTCACCAGTTTGTTCTTTGTGTTTGAGTCTATTTCTATTTGTTTTATTTTTTAGATTCCACATGTAAGTGAAATAATGGTATTTGTCTTTCTTTGTCTGACTTAGCATAATACCCTCTTGTCCATCTATTCTGTTGCAGACCACAAGATTTCATTCTTTTCTTTGGCTGAGAGAAATTCCATTGTATATATATCTACCACATCTTCTTTATCCATTCATCTGTCAGTGGACACTTAGGTTGCTTCCATAGCTTAGCTATTGTAAATAATGGTGCAGTAAACATAGGGGAGAATATATCTTCTTGAACTGGAAATTTGTTGTCTTCAGGTAAATTCCCAGGAACGAAATTACTGGGTCATATGGTAGTTGTAGTTTCAATTTTTTGAAGAACTTCCGTACTGTTTTCTTTAGTGGATATCCCAATTTATATTCCCACCAGCTAGTGCATGAGGGTTTCCTTTTCTCTACATCCTCACCAACACTTGTTATTTCTTGTCTTTTTAATATTAGCCATTCTGACAGGTGTGAGGGGATACCTTGTTGTCATTTTGGTTTACATTTCCCTGATGATTTAGTGATGTTGGGTGTATTTTCATGTGTCTTTTGGCCATCTGTATACAGTCTTTTTTGGAAAAAAGTCCTCTGCCCACATCCTATATAGTCTTTATTTAAGAAGGCAGGAAACAGAGAGTATATATGTTTAATATAATATTTGCAGTTATATTTTATAGAGTACAGAATTGCCTTTTTAGGGAGTAGGGCAGTATACATCTCTTGCCAATCCCAACCATTCAGGTAAACCCAACCTTTTGTTCCTGTTTTTTACTCTTACGCTTTTGAACATAGCTAGAAAATAATTACATATTGGTTGCAATTGGCTGTACACAAATTCCATGTTTTCTAGCTTTACTTAACCCTCAGTGGCTCTTAGCAGTACTTTTACTCATCTATTTACTGTCTCTTGCACCCTCTACCTCCATAGTTTGAAATTTTTTTCATTCTCTTGAAGCTCCCAAACCTTCCCTACTCTTCTTCACACTTAGCAAATTATCTCTTACTCATCAAGAAAGTGGAGATCTTTGTGTCTTGAAATCTAGTAGCTTCTCTCTTTTTGATCTTAATTAAACTCTTATTTACTTCAATACCACCCCCCACCTAAACTTCCTGTATCCAGATTGATCAGTTTTTTGAGACTAGTCAAGTTTTTTGACAGCTGTGTGTCTACCCTAACCAGCAAGTTACACATAATCATTACTTCTCCTGAATGTCTTACATAGGCTTTATTTTTATTTTGGTGGCTTTGTTACTTTTTACCAATTTCTTGTTGTTTATGTATAGGTTATACTTGTTTTATGAAGTATATTTTTAGAAAATTTTTTGAAGGAAGAGATCCCTATATAATTTATCTTCATATTCCTCAATGTGTAATTTGATTTAATGTATTACTTTTTATTGAATAAGTGACTTCAATAAAATTAACTATAATAATGCAGTAGCAGTTTTTTTTAATGGAAATCTTGAAAAAATAGGTAGTAGTTAAAAACAAATTTATAGATTTACTGGAGCATAATGGAAGCTGAGAAACATTAAGAAAAACAGATTTTTCTCAACTTTTGAGCTAGCTTTATAGTCACTCTCAGACATTAAATGGAATATGTATTTGTGGGAGGGAGGAAAGTTTACAGGTATAGAAAGGAGTGTCAAGCATATTCTGATAATTTTTGTTACTTTTTTTTTGTTTATTGAGTTCTTAGTAATGCTGCATTGTTATAATGTGGTTATATGATCTTACTCTGGGTTATAATGAGAGTATTTTAACCTTTGGAGCACATTTCATCAGACAAAAAGGGGAATCAGCATTTAATTTCTGTATTGTGTGAGTGTAACAAAAAATATTACTGAAAAGGATTTGAAAAAAAGGTATTAAACTTTATGTCATTGAATTCAGCATCAGCCTCATCCCTTAAAATCATTTAAATTTTTATTTCATATTAACATGAGAAAAGAATAAAGATCATTGTGTAGTTCAAAATGTTTTTGTTTTCTTGCAGGCAGCTGTAAAATCTAAGAAAGCTACAGATACCTATAAACTCTATGTGGAAAAATATGCATTAGCAAAAGCAGATTTTGAACAGAAAATGACAGAAACAGCTCAGGTTTGTATTTTTAAAGAAATCTAAAATAGGCTATTTTTGTTTACTTATATAAATAATGTAATTTTTCTGTCACATAACTTTAATATTAGAAATGTTAAAATGCACAGTTCTCAGCACCTATCATCATCTAATATACTATGAATTTTATTTACTGTATGCTGAGGTGACAGTTGGAACACAGTGAAGGGTTGTATGCAGGGTAACATGGTCTGGTCTGCAATTTGAAAGATCTATAAATCTATAAATTGCCAGGAAAGGAGCCAGGCTGTGTACCAGGCTCTACGTGCCTCATTGGTGTTACTCAAACCTGAATCCCTTGGCTACTCAAACCTGAATCCCTTCCTTTTTTGCTATATCCCTACCACCTTGACCATATTTCCTGAATATTTTTCTTTACATGGCCTCGTTCCAATGATTTTGAAGAAGGGATTATGAGCTTGTATAAAATAGGGGCTTCTCAGGACACAAAGGCTAATTACATCACCTTTGAAGAGAGTGTGGGGAAAGGGCCAAGTTCTGAGACTCATCACTGACAGTTTGATAGAAGAAGAGATACTTGAACGCAAGTAGAAGAAGCCAGAGAAGGAAGAAAGCTAGGAAGTGTATTGTCATGGCAGCTGGGAAATGATAATGTTTCAAGAAGGGTTTAGTTGTATTATATGAAGGTCCAACTCCAGTGAGATAAACAGCTTCAATTTCTGTAGCAACTGAGGTTATTGTAGACTTCAGGAAGTGCTCTTGTCTTTTAAATCATTAGGAACACTTGTTTATAAGATGGTTATTGTTATGTTAATTTTGCATAAAAGTGATGAGTTTTTATCAATGAAAATGTTTGCCTTTCAATTATTTAATTTGGAAAAACAGGGATTAGAATTTGCTGGAGTCAGGATTTTTTGTTTATTTTTATAAAACTATTTCTGAAGAATTTTCAGTACTCATCTTTTCCTCTCATTATCTCTTTCTGCTTCCTCATAACATTTTTTTTCAAACTGGCATTTTAATTGTTTATCCCACCATTTCCAAGATGAGAACATTAATTTGTTTGAGCAGATATATAACCATGCTGCTTTTCAATAAAGATATTAGTATGCTATGTTAATGTATGCTTGCTCTCTCTCCAGTTCTCCCTGTCTCTCTCTTTGTCACACATGCACCATGGCAGACCAGATTAACTACACTTTTTCTGCTTCCACTTCTGTTTCTGTCATTTTCTGTTCCACTTTCTTTCTTTACCTCTCCACTTCCCTTATGTTTCAGGCCCAGTAGGTTTACCTGATTCTTGTGGGAAGGGCCTATCAGTCTAGTGAGTATCAGATTTGGGTGGCAGGACCTGTATTTATTAGTGGGAAAAGAAATTGAATTTGTGGGGTGAAAGACATTAGAATTTACTTGAGTTATTTGTGATTTAATTTTTTTCATTAGGGTTGAAAGTAAGCATGATTAAAATTGTGATTTCTCTTTGTGCTTATGTATCTTACATTATCAATTAATGATACTTGAAAAACTTGAAACAATATGGAAATTTTTTTTAGTTAGATGGCCAGTTCAAGGAAACCTTGAGATTTGCTTAACCAACAACTTCAGACTAAGGACTTTTAGTATTAGAATGCTTTTGTATATCTAGTGACTGACTGACAAAATTGTACTTTTTTAACTAGTGTAACAGTATATATGAACATTGTGAAAAGAGGAAAACCTGTGATTTGCTCAAGAAGTTTATTTATTTATATTGAAACACTTGAGACTATCTTCCCATTGCTGAATTACTGAGTTTAGTAGTCACTAGTTTTGAGAAATGATTATGTTTAGCAGATTCTGCCTCCCAAAAAAAAGACCCATACAATTTCAAAATTGCATCTCAGTCATGCTTTGAGTTTCTCTGTGGCTTCATTCTTTAAGATATTTCTAAATAATTAAGGATATGCCTTAATTAGCATAGCTGCTTCAAAGAGAATGAGAAGACATAATTTTCTTGGAATTAGGGTTTATACATATGAAATAAGTGACTGTTCAACCAAGTCATTCCTGGAGTTGGGTCTACCTGTCTATGAGAAAATAATCTTGTTCATAAAATTGCAGAAATTTAAGCTGAGGGCAATTTGTAATATGAACATGAAATAGAATCATAATCCTGCTGAATATTCCTCAGCTCTTAAGAGCAACTCAGAATCATGTAGTATTGGTTTTCTCATTGACTTAGTCAAAGTAAATCAGGTCAAACACTCTGTTTTAACTCTGCCATTCCTCATGAATAAAACTGATTTAAGTTTTTGGTCTATTGTTCCATTACTGCCAAAACTGTAATTTCAGCAATAGTGATTTTTTTAGAGTTTGGATCCTTTACACAAATATGGATATGACCATTTCGCTTAGTGATTTCTGATGGTGTAGCTCAGTGCTGAAGAAATACGGGGTGAAGGAATTTAATTTGATAAACTAGCCAGAGAAAAATAACAAGGCATTTAGGCGTATTCCTTAGAACTGATTTAATTTGGCAAAAAACCAGTAATTAGGTTTGTGCATTGGAAATGACAAATGTATTTTGTTTGAAAATAGCTAGTTCAGCATTTCCTAAATCCTGTTTTTAGGACTGTTACTGTTCTGTGAGATATTAATAGATATTCAGAAAAGAAGAAAAACAAAAGGGGTTGTGTGGTCAAAGAAATCTGGAAAACACTGGGTTAAGCAGAATGAAACAAATTTTGATATTTCAGTATTTTTCAGGGTCTTTTCATAGGCTTATTGTGAAGCCAGTCCTAGCAGTGATTTTCTTCCTGAGGAATAAATATCAGAATAATCTGGGAATTTTTTCCAAACAACATTCTCATCTCTTTCCACCCCCATTACCAGGTAGTAGTGGAGGGTCATGTGTTTCATAGTTTGAAAACATTTGCTAGGTGATCTGATACATTCCCACCTTCAGTTAAGAACTGCTGAGATAGAGTCTACAAACTTTCCCAAATTTTTTTGACCACAATTACCTCTTTTGAGGACTATATGTTAAAATTTCAAGGATTAGAAAAACATTTTGAGTCTAGATTGTAAAGTCTTCAGAAGTAAATTTTAGTTTTTGCCCTCCAGCTGTTTTTCAGCTTTTAAAGAACTTCTCCCTTGGTTTTTGTGACACTGTTCTCTTTTGGGTCTTCTGATTTTCTGACCATGGTTCTAGATTGTAATTTGTGTTATCTTCACACTCTGAAAAAGTTCACATATGCCTCTGAAATGACATAATAAAAGGTAACTTATCTCAGTGCTATATTTCAGTATGTTTACTAGACCCATTTGTCTAAAGCATTGTTTTATGTTAAAGTAGTAATGGTAACATGCTAAATTTGGATAACTGTATTGAGATTACTTCTAAAAGGTCTTTTGATTTCGGAACATACGTGAGTGTATTTTTTTGTGTATACATAGCTTTTTATATTTGCTATGCAGAAATTTCAAGATATTGAAGAAGCTCACCTTATTCACATAAAGGAAATTATAGAATCCTTGTCAAATGCCATAAAGGAAATCCATTTGCAAATAGGCCAAGTAAGTTTTTACTTTTTTGAACTGGTTCATGAAAATTTTATATTCATTTGTGACTCTTTAAAAATTCAAAGCACATAATATGATACTGAGTTATTTCAGTTAAAGAATATGTACTTACATATATTAAATATAAAAAAACTGGATTTTTGATTGTCCACCAAGAATGATAATTCAAATTAATTTTTTAAATTAACTGTGCTTACATAATGTAGGGAGGTCATGGGGAAGGCAGTATAGAACAGAGGAGACAAGTAGTGATTCTGTAACATCTTACTATGCTGATGGACAGTGACTACAGTGGGGTGTGAGGGGGGGACTTGATAATATGGGTGAATGTAGTAACCACAATGTTGTGCATGTAAAACCTTCATAGGATTGTATATCAGTGATACCTTAATAAAAAAAAAATTAACTGTGCTTAGTCCTCTTTACATTAAAAGTCTGAAGTTACCACTTTTTAAATATGTTTTGTGAAGTCTTACTATTTTGAACTTTAGAATAGCACCTTCAGTAAGTTGTAGAACTTGTGCTTAGGAACTTATCAAAAATACAAAAGTGATTTAATGATGACAGTTTGGGATGCATAGAGTTACAGAAGAGAAAGATGAAGTACGTTATTCTTTATTATTAAAGATGTTAAACTGTTTTTGTTGTCTAATAAGGTTTATTTATCATAAGAATTATGTCTCTAAAACATTCTAAGTAAGGAAACTGCCTTTACTTCTAAGGCCATGAGACCAATCTTAAGGGGTTCATGCAAACAGTGGTTGGTACCCACAGATCTGTTAACACTGTAAGTTAGGTAACAGCAGTGCTAAGGGTAAATGAAAGTTCTCAAAGTTCCTGGGTCAAAAATACATATTTAAATGTAATAAATTTTAATTGCTTTGTGAAGTTGTGTCGGAAATACAGTAAGATTTTATGGAAAAACAAAATATCTTTATCTCATTTGAATAGGTCCATGAAGAATTTATAAATAACATGGCTAACACCACAGTTGAAAGCTTGATACAAAAATTTGCTGAGTCAAAAGGCACTGGGAAGGAAAGACCTGGTAAGATGTTAAATCTGCAAGGAAATGTATTAAATTTCCCATGTAACAACAAATGTGTTTGTTTTTAAATTCCAAAATTGCAAATTTTGGAGCTTGGGAGATTCCTAAAAATCTCAGATATCATTTTCTTTGTTTCTCATGATATGTTAAATTAAGATTTTTCTTTGGACCTTTAATGGTTAATAATGTAAAGTACTTAAAATGGTTATTATAACCTTTGCTAAATTAATGATTAGAGTTTATATTTTTGAAAATACAGTTAGCAACAGGTCATTTTAATAAGAAAAAGAGTGGGAGAGAATATTGAACCCTCCGAGCATTGAGGCCAAGAACCTTTCTTAAAATTTAATCACTTTTTTCTTTTCTCATTCAATATGTATTCAACAAGTAAAGTTATCGAGTGCTAACAGTATGCCAGACATTGTTTTAGACACTGGGAATACAATGTAACATCTTACTATGCTGATGGACAGTGACTACAGTGGGGTGTGAGGGGGGGACTTGATAATATGGGTGAATGTAGTAACCACAATGTTGTGCATGTAAAACCTTCATAGGATTGTATATCAGTGATACCTTAATAAAAAAAAAATTAACTGTGCTTAGTCCTCTTTACATTAAAAGTCTGAAGTTACCACTTTTTAAATATGTTTTGTGAAGTCTTACTATTTTGAACTTTAGAATAGCACCTTCAGTAAGTTGTAGAACTTGTGCTTAGGAACTTATCAAAAATACAAAAGTGATTTAATGATGACAGTTTGGGATGCATAGAGTTACAGAAGAGAAAGATGAAGTACGTTATTCTTTATTATTAAAGATGTTAAACTGTTTTTGTTGTCTAATAAGGTTTATTTATCATAAGAATTATGTCTCTAAAACATTCTAAGTAAGGAAACTGCCTTTACTTCTAAGGCCATGAGACCAATCTTAAGGGGTTCATGCAAACAGTGGTTGGTACCCACAGATCTGTTAACACTGTAAGTTAGGTAACAGCAGTGCTAAGGGTAAATGAAAGTTCTCAAAGTTCCTGGGTCAAAAATACATATTTAAATGTAATAAATTTTAATTGCTTTGTGAAGTTGTGTCGGAAATACAGTAAGATTTTATGGAAAAACAAAATATCTTTATCTCATTTGAATAGGTCCATGAAGAATTTATAAATAACATGGCTAACACCACAGTTGAAAGCTTGATACAAAAATTTGCTGAGTCAAAAGGCACTGGGAAGGAAAGACCTGGTAAGATGTTAAATCTGCAAGGAAATGTATTAAATTTCCCATGTAACAACAAATGTGTTTGTTTTTAAATTCCAAAATTGCAAATTTTGGAGCTTGGGAGATTCCTAAAAATCTCAGATATCATTTTCTTTGTTTCTCATGATATGTTAAATTAAGATTTTTCTTTGGACCTTTAATGGTTAATAATGTAAAGTACTTAAAATGGTTATTATAACCTTTGCTAAATTAATGATTAGAGTTTATATTTTTGAAAATACAGTTAGCAACAGGTCATTTTAATAAGAAAAAGAGTGGGAGAGAATATTGAACCCTCCGAGCATTGAGGCCAAGAACCTTTCTTAAAATTTAATCACTTTTTTCTTTTCTCATTCAATATGTATTCAACAAGTAAAGTTATCGAGTGCTAACAGTATGCCAGACATTGTTTTAGACACTGGGAATACAACAGTGAACAAATGAATACAGTAATCTGGGTTCTTCTTTCTTGAGCAACTAATTATTGGTATCCTGCATCCCACTTTTTATGAGCATGTTATGGTATATCAGATGTAAAAAGTAGCCCATTCCCTCCCCCTGTCCAGTCTGCTTCTAGTCTACCAGGTTCCTTGACTCTCTGACAGAGTTTCTATACTATGTTCTTGCAAGATACTTATTTCACTCCATAGGTAAAAATACTTCAGTCCAGTAAAGAAGTTAAAATATGGTTTGGAATTCAGAAAAATGATGTAGAGAAGCGTGGATCATTTTTCTTCAGTGCAATACACAGAACTAAGGCTTGAAACGTATTATCATCTTCATTTCCTTTTTCTTCCCACATTTTAATAAGTCTCAAATTGTTTTGATTCAGTTATATATGTATTTTTCCTCTTAGACCTTCTTTTCATGCTCTCTTCCTACCTATTAATTGCAGTAACAGGTTTCTAAATATGGACATAGTAAAGATTTCTTCTGTAATCCATTTTACATATTATAGCACATTTATACTTTGTATAATTGTGAACTTATAATTGCACTACTCATAAATCTTTGACTTTTCATTATAGACAAAATGGAATCATACTTCACTTGGATTCAGAGCCTTTCAGGATCTGGCCTTGACCAGTCCTTTAGTCTTAATTTCCATTTTTCCTTTTTTGGTACCCTTCACTGCAGCCAACTGAACTGCTTGCTCTTTCCTGTATATGCCTCCCTTTTTTTCCTTGGTACCTTAGTTGATCTTATGTCCTTGTCTAGGAAATATCTCAGGTCTTCCCATCTATTTGTTGAATGGATAAACTCTTAAAACAGCCAGGTCATGTGTTAACTTCCTTCATCAAAAGTGCTAAAGAATTTTAAATATGCTTTTTTTTCATTGTTGTTCTTTACCTTGAATTTAAAATAATTCTGCACTTGTAAAGAAAAGTTCTGTGTTTGATTAATCTGTTTAGCTTAAGTGTAGACAGTACATTTTGTTGAATGAATGAACAATGGGCATATAATGGTAACTTAAAGATGTTAAGGAAGTTGGAGTGGATGGATTTGCTATTAGAAGAGTCTTGGTGAGGAAATAGTAAGTAATTGTGGTTAAAGTTAGTGAGCCACTTACTTTGTGCCCTGTGCTGTGCCAACTACTTTGCAGGCAGACTTTGCTCTTCAGCAGCTCTGTAAGGAGGTACTATTAGTCTCATCTTACAGATGAGGGAAATGGTGAGAGGGTAAATGATTTGTCTAAGCTGATACATGGCAGAGCTAGGATTAAATGCCAGGATTCTTGACCCCAAGGCCCATGCTTTGGAGAAATTAGAATAGAACTAAGTAAGTTTACATATAGAGAAAATGTAGCTCTTGAGATAATGTAACTACAGAAGAGCATGAAACCTTAAAATTGTAAAGAGATTAAATTGTAAGCAAAGACCAGTTAGGAGAGGTAAAAAACATTGGGGAACAAATAATTTTTAGAGAGTGTTTAGAAGTGTTGATAGAATAAAAAACAAAGGTGTATTGGCTGGTTAAAAATGCCTTACATGGCAATTTGAATGAGTGGTAGATTTTATCATTATCAGTATCCTGTTTGTGACATTGTATTGTAATTTTGAAAGTGCTGTCATTGTAGGAAGCCAAGCAAAGTGTACAAAGAATCTTTGTTTTTAGCAACTGTGTGTAAATCTACAATTATCTCAGTAAACATTTCAGTGGTTTTCTTGTCTGTGGTATATAGCACAATACTTAACCTGTATTTTGTGGTGTATTCTTTGCGAGCAGTGAGACCTTTAACCCTCAATGCTTTCATCTGTAAAGTAGGGATAATACTAGCACCTGCCTCAGGTTTACATGAGCTAATAATACAACACTGAGTGCTTTAAAAATGTCTTTTTCAAAAATTGATACATTCCTGACTATTGGATATTGCTTCTTTATAAATGTTAATTTACTGGCCTTAAGCTATATTAAGACATGGAAGATTCCTGTAACTAGATAGCAAGAGGTAACAGGGAGGCCAGGTATGGTAGACATGGGCTTTCCTAGAATCACTAAACTCAGAATTACGTGATTGGTTCTGGATGACTTGTTGACATTGTGTATATATGTGATGACTTTAAAAAAGAAGTGGTTCTAAAACTAAAAAAAAGAAAAAGAGTCGGGTGGGGTGGAGTGGAAGGGATAAGTATTCTCTAGTTGACTTGTTTTAGGTGATGAATTACAGCTCTTTCATATATATTCAGTTTATGGATACCTGATCAAATGAAAATGGGGGCCCATTGAAATGATGAAAATGTTGTGTTTTTTAGTAAAATAAAATACTCAGAATATTTTGCATGTGATTGTATGGAATTCATGTAGTTAAAGGATTTTGTTTTGTAAGATGTATTCTAACCTTCAACTGCGTATACTACTGATTGCTAGTAACATTTTATTTCTCCTGCTTTGTAAGAGCCCCCTCTAGTGGATGAGTTCCTTCCTAAACTAGTTTTAGTCCTATGGGATACACATAGTAAAAAGAAAACGCCCTGTTCTTAAAAAATTTTTATGCTTAAAAATTAACCTATTTTCCCTACACTGAAAATGACCATTTTTTCTTTGGTCAGTTAAGAAACACTTTTAAAGCATTAAAAAATTTTCCTATTCATTATGACTATTTTATAATACTTAGATATACTGACATTTTTTTGCCATTACTTTTTTTAAATTGAGAGATAATTGGCATGTAACCTGGTATTAGTTTTAGGTGTACAAAATAATAATTTGATATATATTTATATTGCAAAGTGATTACTTAACATCTGTCCCCACACATTGGTACTTTGTTTTTCATTGATAAGAACTTCTAAGAACTACTTTTTTAGTAGATTTCATACATTACAACAGTATTATTAATGATAGTCACCATGCTGTATATTACATCTCCAGGACTTATCTGTATCTTTTAACTGGAAGTTTGTACCTTTGATCATTTTACATGCCCCCACTAACCCCCATCTCCCACCTCTGGCAATGCCAGTCTGTTCTATGAGTTTTCATTTCTTTTTTTTTTTTAAAGATTCCACATGTAAGTGAGATCATGCAGTATTTGTCTTTCTCTGACTTACTTCACCTAGCATAATGCCCTCAATCCATCCATGTCACAAATGGCAGGATTTCCTTCTTGTTTTATGGCTGAATAATATTCCATTGTACATATACACACAGTATTTCATCCATTTATCTCTCAGTGGACCCTTAGTTGTCTCCCTGTGTTGGTTATTGTAAGTAAAGCTGCAATGAACATGGGGGTACAGGTATCTT